TGGGGAGGAGAGGAGGCAGGCAGCAGAAGCTGGAAGCGAGAAGAGGTCCATGAAGACCACAGTAGCAGCAAGAGAGCAATGGGGGAGCAGTGACCAGGCCAGAAACCTAAGGGCTGTGTGTTAACCCCTTGTAGGCGACATGCATTCTTCAGACCACCCAGTGAACATCCCTGAACTTCAGCACTGGTTTCAAAATATTTTTGTAACATTGGTCTTCATTTAAGCTTTCTTAGGTTCTAACAGCCTATAATTTTATCCCAGCAGGAGTTCTCCTGGTTGGATTTTATATGATTTCTCTCTCCCACTGCTTTCTCAAGATTTATCATTTTTGGGTCAAGTATCAAGCTGTTGACTAGGAGAAAAAAAAGTGACACTTTCCTTTAACAAGTAACCAAAACTTTTGAAATTCTCTGGAATCCACTCAGAGGGAAAGACCACTAATATTCTCTGAACTTGAAAGATGGCCTTTCTGACTTGGATCATGTGTATTATTTTAACCCCCCCTAATTAGGGTTCCTCTTTCTTCTCTTTGCCTCTCTTCTTCTTTAGAGATGTGCTCTCCTTCTGAGAGTGTCACTTATGATCTAAGTGGATGAGAGGAATATTGGGTATTTTGCCTCTTCATACCATCTAGTTCTTAATATCTGCATTAGGATCTAAGACTTAAAACAGATAACCCATAGACAAGCCAGAAAAGCCTGTTATGTCAATACTAGAAGAAGGCTGATTGAGAACTAAAAGATGGTTAAGTAATCCTTCTAAGGTTAAGAATTAGTAGCCCTAGAAATCCTCAGTTATCCTTAGTTGAAGGAGCAATAGGGGAAACCCCAGAATAAGAGTGTACTGAGTAATTTTGATCTGGGCTTCTGGATCTGACCTGCCTTCCTTTCTTGCAAGTAACTGAAAGAGTGAACAGCTGCATCAGTACTAATGTTGCTAAGACTGGCAGTTTTGATCCTTTTCCAGCAGTTTTCTTCTGATGCTTGTATTCTAACAGGACGTACGCATCATTCCTCTGGCTAGAGACCTCCTCATTGTCGGATTCTTTGCTCTTTTCCAGTTTAAGTCCCACAGACTAACTTAGCTGCACAGGTCACCATCCACAGACTTCACAATGGGGGTTGAACAGGAGAAGCAGATCTTTTTTTTTCTGTTTCTGTCATACCAGTGCTCCATCTGTATACAGTTAGCCTTGACCTATACTATTCTTCAGCAAGAGTGCAAACGGAGTTGACAAGAATCTCCTCAGCTTTGGCTTCTCCACATAATTAAAAAACAAAACCTGAAATCCAGTTAGCTACATGGTAGATGTTTAAAATCCAATACTGCTCTGCTGTGAATCAACAGTATCTGAACAAGCAGGCTGCATAAATGAAGACGTACTGAGAAAAAGGATTCTAACTAGATTTCAAATGTCTCTCTCTCTCTTTTTTTTTGGGTGGGGGGGACTGGAGGGGGCTGCATAGTGAAATGGAAGCATCTCTGAATCTGAGCCAGCAGAACAGAACCAGTACAATTTTCATGAGGTAGGTCACTCCAATTCTGCCAGTGACCCACAACTGCAGGTTTGAGCCCAAAACTGCAAACAAGATGTAGATAGAGTATCTTCTAGTTATGGTTTTATATGTTCAGTTGAGATTTCTTAGTTTCAAAAAAATGCACATCTAACTTATATAGAGTTCTAATAAATTCTTCCACACAGTCTCTTTTAAATGATACAAATAAACTTTTAACTTTTGTTTAAAAAGGTTTATGCTATGTTAAGTATTTCCTAAAACTTCACATCTGTAAGAACCACACTCTAAAACAAGGAAATACTGACCTTGAATCTACATAGTAAATGTACACTGTTAAAGAGCAGCAATAATTTCACATTCCTACCTGCCACCTTTGTTCGGATTTGCATATTTTCTTGCAAAGCTGCCAGCGGTTCCAAGTACTCTGGGGCCTTTCCAGCTATGACTTCCTGCAGTTTCGCATCCACCTGACTTAATCTCTCTTTGTAAAGTCTCAAATTATAAAAAGGAGAGTATTAAGTAAAAGGGGGAAAAAAACACAAGCAGAATCACAGAAATAATTTTCTCTGAAAAAATTCTTTGCACAATCCCATATCTAATCTAATCACTCCATATCAGAAAATTAAAACCTATAAATTTGTATTTGTTGCCACTAATTTTCCAAGCTTTATAATAAATTCTCTTGCATATTTTTTCTAGAAGGCGTAAGCAGATATGAAGTCCAGGATTGTCTATCCTTTTTTAAAGATGAAGTACAAAGATTTTTGCTCTCGCAAGACATCTAGATAAATCTAATTAATACCCCAGAGAGGAGCCTTGGTAATAATATATACTGGTGTATACTACTCCAAATTCTATTTAAGAAAATAATAAAATGGATCTTGACACAGTTCCATATTTTTATACCCTCAACATTTTCGGAAGACAGACTCATGCCATCCCCTCTAATGGCATTTGGGGAAGATCTACACCTGGAAATCTCATAAAGCGAACTAAGGAAGAAGTTACTCCTAATTTTAATCACCAGCCTTCTTAAAATGGCAGCATTTGAAATCATCTTTAAATAGAAAAACGTTTTCAAAACATGTAACTACTTACTGATCTTTGAGGTCTGTAAACTGTTTTTCAAGGTTGGACATTTCATCTAAACATTCCATTCTTCTTCTTTCACAGTCCTCATCATCCATTTCTATGAATAAAAAAAAAGTTAATTTCCTTGCAAAGTAATAGAATAAAATATAACATTTCTCTCTCAGCCTTTCCTCGTAAGTCTTGCTCTCCAGGCCTCTCATAATTGCTGTTGCTCTGTATTGGACTCTTTCTGAACTGTTCACATCCTATTTGAAGTGTGGGGCCCAAAACTGAGCACAGTACTACAAATGAAGCCTCACCAGATCACAAGAATCACTTCCCCTGATTTACAAGTGACACTCCTTTAATATAACTCAGTATACTCTTAGCTATTTTTTGAAACAAGAGCACACTACTGGCTCATATTCAGCTTATGGTCTATTGCAGGGCTGCCCAACCTGTTAGTGGACAAGGTATCACATCCCACAGGCCACACACTGGAGGGGCAACACAAGGCAGGACACAGGCTCCCTGGGCACTCCCCTGCTGCACCAAGCAAGCGGGTACTCCCTATGCCTCATTGCACCAGGCACAGGGACATTCCCTATTGTGCAGGCATTTTCTACTTTCTGTACTGCACTGGGCATGCGGGTACTCCTCCCCCTCCACCACACAGCACCATGCAGGTGCACAAAGGCACCCCACCCCTACCTTCAGCTTCTTGGGCACAGGCTTCTCCGTTGCACCATACCAGCATCCCATACCATGGGATTCCACCATACCACAGGCTGTGCCACACTGCTCTGGCCTACCCTGCCCCTGGAGCCAGAGGAGGGGAAAGCCCATAGCCTACAGAAGAAGCAGCCAGAAGGAGGGGGAGCCCAGAGCTTCCTCCAGTATGTAATAACTGAGGCAGCAGTAGCTGGGTGGGAGTAAAGGTGGCAGTCTAACCCCCTCACAGGCCACATGCAGCCTGCAAGCCACCAATTGGACAGCACTGGTCTACTGTAACCCCCAGGTCCTTCTCTGTAGTAGTGAAGTCTAGCTAATCATTCCCTGGTCTGTATTTCTGCATGCAATGTTCTGTCCAAAGTGCAGGGCTTTGCACTTGTCCTTGTTAAGTCTCATGCGATTGGCTGCAGACCATTTTTCCATTCTATTCAGGTCATTCTAGATCCGCCCTCCACCCTCCAGCGTGTCTGCAATTCCACCCAACTTGGTGTCATCCACAAATTTGCTAAGCATGTCCTCATCCCAGCATCCATATCATTAATGAAGATGTTGAGCAGTACCAAACCCGGAACAGACCCCTGAGCAACCCTACTTGATACCTTCTCCCAACATTGAGACATTGATATTAGACACTGAGTCACTGAAGTGAGCACAATGATTCAACCTTACAGGAGCCCTCTAATCTGTATATCCTAAGCTTGCTAATGAGAATGTCATGGAAGAAGACAGTGTCAAAAGCCTTGCTCAAGTTAAGGCAGGGGTTCTCAAACTGTAACACACTTACCCCTGGGGGTACACCAGACATACCTAGGGGATACGTGAGAGGAAACTGTGTTAATGGTGGATTTCATTTTCATTATTATAATAATAATAATTGGCATTTAAGGGGTTAAAATATAAAACGTATGCTGGTAGGGGTATGTGGGCAGCTGGTAAATCTGGAAGGGGGTATGCAATAAGAAAAAGTTTGGGAACCTCTGAGTTAAACTATATCACATCAACTGCTCTCCCCACATCCACAAAGCCTGTCCACTTATCATAGAAAACAAATTGGTCAGGCATGACTTGCTTTTGGTGAATCTACACCAGCTGTTCCTAATCATCTTGTTCTCCTCCAGGTGCTTCATAATAAATTCCTTGAGGACCTGCTCCATGATCTTTCCAGATATTTAAATCAGACTGACTGGTCTGCAATCCCCTGGATCCTCCTCCTCCCCTTTCTTAAAAATGGGCACTATATTTCCCCTTTTCCAATCATCCAGGTTCTCACCCAAACTCCATGAATTCTCAAAGAGGATAGCCAATGGCTCCGAAATTACCTCAGCCAATTCCTTCAGTACCCTAGGGTGCATCCCATCTGGCCCTACCAACTCAAAAGCATCAAGCGTCTCTAAGTAATCCATAACCTTTTCTGCTACTACTCTAGACTGTTTGTCTCCTTCCCTGTCTTTGCTGTCAACTGCACCCATCATGTGGTAGCTGTCCCTATTTGTGAAGACTGAAGTAAAAGAGGCTTTTACTTCACATCGTTTTCCATAATATACAATAGAACCGGAAAAGTAGTTTCTCTAAAAGAAAAATTTCCAATTTTTCCCCACTTCAAGAGTCTTTCTATTCATCTTGTCTATAGTTACTGGAGGATGACTTGGGGAGACAGAAGGAAAGTGTCTCAAGAAAGGTTTCATGAGCGCTCACCACTCAAATGGAAAGGACAGTGCTGCACAATCTAAGGGTATAATCACAGTTCACTTCCAATAGTTGCAAATCTTTGGGATATTGTGATATAGTACATTACGATAATCCTGCCCTAAAAGGAAGCAACTTTGTAATGGCACAATGGCACTTAACATGTATTAAATTGCCTGAATGTGCATTTGCTCACATTTTAACTGTACAGTGTTAAGTTGAACGTGTGACACTACCCTAACAGAAATATACTTTCTTCCAGGAGTTAGAGCCATTTAAGTTCATCAAATATTAACAAAAACAACAGTTTTAAAAAATGATAATAGAAAATTCTAATCCTTTGTGAATTTCACAGCTGTCAGTCTCTTGTGTTTACAATGATCCTAATTCTTTACCCAGAGCATTTCAAGAGAGATTTAAACCACACACACACATTTTTAAAAAGTTTTTTTTTCTTTTTTTTATATGCCATGAAGAACTGAAGAAGAGTATCACACAATTTTTTCCCTTTGCAGTTAATTATTTAGGTTGTACAAATTAAGACATCATCCAGATTCTTCTGTATCTTTAAAAAACTACAAAACTATACAACCTTTTCTTCAATGCCTGATGAAGGGGGTTTGTGCCCAAAAGCTTGCAATTAAAGAATTTTTTTTGCAAAAATCTTGTTGGTCTGATAAAAGATATCATCTCTACTACGAGTCCCGACTGTCTTTTCCTGTAGAGTCTAGGCCAGGGGTAGGCAACGTTTTTTGGCTGGAGTGCCGAAAAACACCACAATGCCTACCTCGGAAGGTGCCGGAGTGCTGGCATGGCAGAAAAACAAAATGAGGGCAAGGGGTATGTGCCAGGATGCCCTGCTTGTGCCCCTTGCCCCCCACCCAAAGCCCCTGCCCCCCAGCCCTGCTGCCCCTTGCC